AGCTGGCCAATAGTCGCGCCCTTGTTAAAACGCCCGATCACCGAATTTGTAGCCTCGAGAGGATCGCGCGTGAAAACTTATGTGGCTGCAAGCGGCCGATATAATAGCTGCCGTCAAGATCCGTGGAATTGCGAGCCATCCGCCCGAGTGTTGTCGTTAAGAAAATTATTAGCTGCCGATCTGCGCTAGTCTCTCTTGCCATAATCGAATTATTTTTCGTCTTGTTTTGTATCTTTTGTGTCGTGCCGAACCGATTGCTGTAATTATAATCTCGTTATTTGTAACTTTCTATGGTAGAAACAGATGGTCTACCAGTATTACTTGTTAATAACTTTTATGGTGATGATGAAAATTCTAATCGAAGAAAAGAAATGTGGAGTCTGGACGTAACAGCCTTATTAAACGTACTTTTCATATCACGTCAACCATATTTAAAACCCTCGTTAGTACTTTTGTGATACTGACATGAATCGATTGCGCGCGACGCGTTTCTCTTATATAATCTAAGACTCTACCTGACGATAGCGCGACGGAAGAAAACAGATGAAACAATCTGCACAACAATTCAGAGCAAGCAGCTAGCCAATCTTTTAGTCCTAAATTTTGATCTACTGCGCATCCCTCAAGTTGTCTCACCTGTCTTCTTCCATCGCGAGCGAGATTATTCTCACTCTAATGGCGACTGCGAACGCTTGGATGTTGTATCTGGCAAATAAATAGATGCCAGTATCTTCAAATAATGAATTTTTATTTGAATCCCAAACAGCACAATATTAATAGTATTTTCTGAGAATAATATTTGTTAAACATTTCCTAAATTATGCAATTTAAATCATATATCTTACACAATTTTTATATAAAATATTCTTTTCGAATGTTTAAATAAAAACTATCTATCTATTAAAAAAAATCAAATTGATCTTAAGGACCTTAAAAAGATCTTTTAAAAAAATTTATAATAAAATCATCTTTTTTTCTCTCCAAACTATCAAACTTTTGTTTCTACACTGAATTTATATATTCCAACAATAAAATACTTTACTATTGTCATATAATACTGCATTTAATAGAATTCGTAATAGAATCATATACAATTACATACATGTTCAAGTATTACTCAATAAATTTT